CCGGAGTCCTACGGGATTGGGGGGGCATACAAATGTTATTAAACTTAAACTTAAATTATACTTTGATTGAATGCAGGATATGATTAAAGAATATTTATCCCAATACTTATCGCAGGATTTTGCTCTTTTTATTATATTTATGTTTTTTCAGCCTGTGTGATAACATTCTCCATTCTTCCTTTTCAGTGGGTGAATCGTCTCTTGAGGGGAAACCTGGCTCAGGAGAAAAGATCAAGAAACGTGTGAAAACGCCTTATTCCCTAAAGAGATGGCGCCCTTCAACGTGGGTCATCTCCACCGAACCCCTGGATTGTGAGATTAACAACAATGGGGGTGACAGGGTGGTTAGTTCTAAGTCCAGCACAGCTGTTTACCTTGGAGAAGGAGGTACCGCAACAACTATGGTGTCTAAAGATGCAGGAGTGAACTGTCTGTGAATTGTTTAAAAGCTGACGCAAAACTGACATTACTGCATTCTGTTAATGAACACGCAGAAGACATTTTATATTTAAAAAAAGAAAAACACTTCCTGCTTTCTTCTGTCAGTACTCCTTATACCGAGGACTTGCTTTAAATAGATTTCAGCTATGCAGACAATTTTTAGCTTATGCTTCCATAATTTTAATTTTTAAAAAAAAAAAAACATTTTGCACTTTTTATTTAGAATTGCAAAACTACATCTGTTCGTCTTTGATCATGGAATTATATACGTATGTAATCAAATACTGTGGTCTCAAAATATTTTTTTTTTTTTAAACATCAAAAACAAGAAAACGTATTGCTGATAATCAGTCTGGGCCGGTTTCTAAAGGTCACTAAACAGCTAAGCGGGGTGGACTGTGGTGGTGTCCGCTGCTCACGGTTTGAATTGCGTGCACAAATCATTTGTACGTTTCTGTGTAACGAGAGTGTATGACTTTCATACTTTCTATTTTACACCTGTATTATGTTGAAATGTGCAATAGTCTGTAGTTCATAATATACTTTGTGTTTCCATTCCTACGTTCTTCTTTTTTGGAGTTAAAAATATCAATAGCTGTGTTTAATCTGGTAATCCAGCAACCGGTGATTTCTAATCCTGAACTCTGCAAGCATAATCATCTTGAAGTAAATGCTTTTATCTATCAGTATATGTGCTCTAAGATTAGAGTTAATGCATGATTTTTCCCCTCCTCTGACTCCTTAAAAAAAAACAACCCTGAAAAGAACAAATCTTTTATCTTTCATATTTCCAAATTTGAAATTTAATTTTTCTTCATAATGAATGACATAGGTTGGGAAATCGAGAAAGCGTTCAAGAAATGTCAACAGTTATCTTCCTGATTAGCGCGATACTAATTAAATGTATTTTCAGTTAGGAAATTTACAGGGTAAAGCAAGTTCTACCTTGGATAGTGTGATTTATGGTTTATTTTCACCAAGTCGATATGCATGTGAGAATTAGAGATACAAAAACAGAGCAGAACTGAAGTGGGGGTATGGCACGGAGGGAGGGAGAGCAAAGAAACAATCTCTTGCATATGCTTATGGGTGGTTGGATGTAGCCCCTTATGTGTGCATTTGTATGGCTGGCTGTCATTCTTATGGTATAATTTATGCAATTTGTCAGTTAAATATAGTATTTATGTATATTTTTTTCCTTAATGGATGCTTTTGATGCTTGCTGGAAATACATTTTTGTCTCATCTTTGTAATTTACCTTAAACACATTGTGTACAGGTTGCTTATGCATATTTTTAAGTAGAAAAGCTAACACCTGGATTAATTTGCTTGATTCCTATGTCTTGGTTATGATCACAGCCAAAATGATCTACCTTAGTATTGACATATAAGAGTTTAATGAAAGGATCCAGTTCATCTCCTCTTTCTTTTTTCATTAGTTATTGTTCTAGAATCTAGAATATGATCCATGCTTATCCTCAAAAGCATACAAGTCTTTGGTTGTTCTGACAAGGAGTCTTAGAAGTTGTAATCCAATGCTTCTGGAAATTACCCGATATAAAAAGTCATATAGAACAGGCGTGTCCAACTTTCAGCCGTGGACAGCTAGTGATGAGCCCCACAAGATATAATAAAAATACTAAAAATAAAGGAAGTTTGTTATTTATATACATTAATTATATTATATATTTGATATGTAGCCCAGAACAATTACTCTTCACTCAGTGCAGCCCAGGCAAGCTAAAAGTTTGGACACACACGATACAGAACATATGTAGAACCTTACATAATTGTGCATGACTATTACAACCTCTGGGTCATTATTTTGAAAATAGGTAGCTTGAATCCAATTTGCTATGCAGGAAGGAAGATACATACACACA